AATTATAACTGCATCAGTAATTTGAGGACAAGATTGGTTTGTTAGCATAAACTAAACTAAGAAAGTCTTTGTCGTAAGAGCATTTCCAGCAGAGTTAATTAGAAGAGCAAGTGTACCGGTAGTATGAAATATTTATCATACCTAGAACTGACAATTACCATGACACACTATGGACATAGCACAAACTAATTTTCATTGTCATTGCTTTTTCGAAAAAGTCACAGCCAGGAAAAACAAACAACTCACGTTTTTTGCTTGTTTTTTTTTTTTTTCCAGCTAGAGACAGTGTTTTAAATCAGTTTTTAGCAAGCCAGACGCTGAACAAAAATCCCAGCCAGTAAATGACCTTACGCTAATATTTCCCAGCCAGCGTTATAGCAGCCTGTCGAGCGGGTTTTCTGTCGAGCGGTTCCGTCAGGTACTCCTGTCAATGGCTCTACATTGTATCTCATCGAGCTAAGTACCTAAATCTCCTTTTTGTTTATGTTTTCATGTAAGCGCCATGCAGTTGTAGTCTTATGTTTATTATGCTAAATTTCCTTTACTTTACATGTAACACTAACCCGCTTCGCTTGAAACAACCGTATTCTTTATTCAGTCGTTCGCATTCTTCCATCAGCCCATCAGCGACAAGGTCAAACTGTTTTTTTGTCTCAATTTGTCGTGAGTTGACAGAATTCCGTCGGAAGAAACCGGTGTTTATACAATGCTTTTGACCTAAAAGTCATGACTAAACATCTCAGGTATATTAAGGAGTGGGTCAGTTGTTATTTAGACTAAATAACAACTGACCCACTCAAGTAAAACTTCCAGGGGTGGTCTATCTGGAGAACCATGCGTACAAAAGGCTTCTAACTTAGCTATGGTAAACGACTGCCCAAAGCAAGTTTAGTTGATAGTGTTGTTGCCATGGCAACCTATCACGTGACCAAATAACGGCCCATTTCCGGTTTAGATTTTAAGGCCTCTTCAGACAGGGAAGAACGGTACTTATTCAACATTTTATTGCGTAGTCTGACTACTTACCCAAGAACCATACCCAGTGTAATTGGAATGCATGTCCAAGTCAAGTGAACTGTCAATAATGTAACTTTATGCATATAAATAAAAAGGCTTTCAGCAAGGTTTGACAACCATTCCAATTACATTGGGTACGGTTCTTAGATAGGTAGTAAAACTACAGAACAAACGTTGATAAAGGAACGTTTTTCCCTGTCTGCAGAAGCTTTCAAAATTAAACCGGAAGTGAACTGTTATTTGGTGACGTGACACATTTCAAGTAAAACAACAGCGTTAAGTTATCTGTTAAGTGGGAATGTAACCTGTAGCCACGTTTGGTCCACATTGTATGATCCGTTTCCAAGATTGACCACCCCTTCACTTTTTGACTACGGAATAGACGACCCAGCCCTTAATATGCCCGAGATTACGTACCGACTTTCATAAATTGATCAAACGCCGAACTGTTTTTAGATGGTCACACAAATAAAATCATGTCATATTTCTGCAAGAATCATACTGCTTACTCCAAAGTTAAAATCTTGCAGCAATCTGGGAAAACGAATGGGGGTGGCAAAGCTCTCATTAGCCACCGCACAAACCATAGTAAAGGTGTCATTACACTAATTAATCCCTCTCTGAATTTCAAAGTTGAAAAACTCATCCCAGACAAACAAGGAAGGTTCATTATTTCAAAATTATCACTTTATTATCAATTCAAGCCTAAAATCTAATTGAAGCATTTGCATTGCGCCCGTGTTGTGGTGTGCATTGTATCTCGCTAAAATTGTACTTGCTTAACCTAGTGTAAGAAGTGTAAGTATTG